GAGATGATGAATGAGACTTCATCGAAACGTTGCCTAGATACTTCCAATCTTACGCCGGAGAAAACCCGAATAACCAAAGATCCACATACAAATACCCGCGAGAACCTCAGAAAACATATATATATATATAAATATATATATATATAATATATAGTATATATATATAAATAAATAATTTGTTTTCTTAAGTTTTCGCAGGTACTTACATGTATGGTATTCAGCTTTGTTCGGGTATTTTCCCACGTCATTATAGTTGTGCTTTTAAAGTTGTAGCAACGTTTCGGCAGAATCTCTGCCATCATCAGGCTTCTGTACACAGACGAACACAATACAGAAGCCTGATGATGGCAGATGAGATTCTGCTGAAACGCTACAACTTTAAAAGCACAACTATAATGACGTGGGAAAATACCCGAACAAAGCTGAATAACATACATACATACATACATACATACATACATACATACATACATACATATAAAATATCCATTATATGAACCCAACAGAGAAAAAGAGCAAAACATTAAGTTGTGTAGCAAAATGCAGAGAACTGACTGCATTTGAAGAAAGTAACTATAAAACTACACACCAGTATAGTATTTCAGCCCCCGTCCTCATCAGGTGGGACTGTGTGTGAAGGCACAGATAGTCCTTAACTTACGAGCACAATTGGTCCCAATTTACGTTGCTGAGTGAAACATTTTGCCCCATTTTATGACTTTTCTTGCTATGTTTGTTAAGCGAATCCCTGCAGTTGTTAAAAATTGGTCACATGGTTGTTAAGTGAATCTGGCTTCCCCATTGTCCGGAGGTCGCAAAAGGGGGATCGCGTGACCCAGGGAGACACTGCAGCTGTCGTATAGGTGAGCCAGTTGCCCCACATCCGAATTTTGATCAAACGGTCACAAAGATGGGTCATAAGGGTGGAAAAAAACGTTTGTCAGTCCCTTTTTTTCAGCAGCGCTACAACTTCAAACAGTCGCTAAACATACTGCTGTAAGTCGAGGACTACCTGTTGTGATTATGTCGGGATTCCAGCAGTTACCCCCCATTTCAATCGTGATCGCGAGCCAAACTTCCAAAACTTTGAAAGGTGTTTCTTTGGTCTGTAGGAAGTTAGCACTCACTCCTCTCCTAGAAAATTGAAATATCCTAGGAAATATTTAAAAGGAAGAATATTTCCCCTAAAAAGAGTAGAAACTCAGAAGCAGAAACTCACCTCAGAGAGGCAGAAATTTAGCCCACCCCCCACCTTTGCTAATGGGCCATTAAGGCCTAGGGCAGAGTATTCTACATAACAAAGGTCTCTTTCTATCTCACCACCTGGCCTGGGAAGATTGCATCAGCCAGCACTCAGGTGAAGCCATGTGGTCCAGACATGCCTACAAAGTTAGTTAAGACCCCCGCCCCTGGGAGTCTGACAGCCAATGGGATTACATTTTTTGCACAGGAACAGTAAACACTAAGGTGAGGCCCAACAGAGGATATATAAGGGTCTCTCGGCATCTCAGTCCTTCCCTTTTCGTTTCACCTTGAAGCATGTGATCGTCCTTTTCACTTTGGAGCTCCAAGCCATGTGGTCCTGTCCACCATTAAACCATCTTTCCAAACAGCCGCCATGTTTCCAAGTGTCTTTTTCCCCACTTGGAACTGAACCCAGAAGGCTATTTCTTCCAAGAAGTCTTTTTAGAGTTGCCAGATTACACACTTGGCTACTTGGATCAACAAACTTTCTGGATTTGCACAACGCATCGACCGGTTCATGCTAAAGCGACGCGAATCCGTGGTGTCACACCAGGCTGAGCCGCTAAAACAAAAGCCAAGCAAGCACACAGGCAGAAATCCAACTGGTTAAAAGGGAATGTAGATTATTCAGAATACAGATAAAAGTATAAGCATAATGAAGATGATGATATGAGAATTAGTTAAAACTAAAAGGCATAGGTTAAGAAATGATTGGAAAAATTATAAATAAGCTTGAGGAAAATATTTGTGAAAAACAATAGAAAATATATGTAAAGTAGACATTGACATGAACTAAATGTGGAAGACGAATATGTAAATCAAATTATGTCTGTACAGAGATGTGAAAACCTGTTCGCTAAAAAGATGTTTCTTTAAAAATGTGGAAAATTGAAATAAAACTTTTACCAAAAAAAAAAAAAGAATACTATGCAATATGGGAGAAATGGTATCATTGGATTGACAATAGAAATAAGAAAAGAAAATGTATATATAATGCATATGATAGATATAGAAGGTATGGAAACAGTATGTACAGATTGTATTGGATATGTGAATGTATACAAAATTTTATTAAGTAATTTATTTATTAATAAATTTAATTTGTTTATTAAGTAATTGAGATATGTACAAATGAAAAAACCCAATAAAGTATAAAGGAAAAAAAAATCCAAAGGATCTGACTGCATTTAAGAGGAAAGAACAGGAGAAAAGTGGTGAGAGAAGCCTAAAGTTTTGCTGGTTTCGAAAACCTACCGGGGAGACGGAGAGAAATCCTCCGGTCCTTTCACCTGGTTCTCCTTTCTCACGCCTTGCACACTCGCTTTTTCACCCTGGGACGTGCATGTATATGTGTATGGTTGTGTGTGTGTGTGTGTGTGTGTGTGTGTGTGTGTGTGTGTGTGTGTGTG